CCTCCCTCGTTCAAACTCCGTAAGTTGCTTGAATTTCTTATTCTTCCGTCGTGGAGGCATACTCAGGTCTCACTAAACGTTTGCCACTAACAAATAATCATAGACTATTTTCAACGTCCCGCTACAGCACTTTATTTATACGCTTTCAGCATCAATTCAGAGGGCGCTGCGCGCGCCACGCACGCGCGATGGCTCTGAAACTTTATTAATTTGCATAATATCCTATAATTGACATTTGCTGCGAATTTCATTTGATTCTGATGATTCCTTCATGGTGTTGCATTTTCTACAAACAGCAGTTTATATATATATATATATATATAAACTTTGCAACAAATATCCAAACTATAAGCATACAGCTAAAGTAGAATTTCAAAGCAAAATTGCTATTTTAAAAAATCTTTCATTTTTCAATGATTTATTTAGAAGAGAAATTATGAACATTTTTCTCAATTAATCAGCGTGCATACTGCTACGTTAAAACATATATTTTTAAGCAAAATAAAAGGAATAGTTCTATTTGAATGAACTGCAAACAATAAAATATACTGTGCATAACCTGCTGTAACGATTCACCAGTAGCGTTACCCTAAACAGGGACGAGAAGTATTTCGGTTATTCTCTCTTATTGCTAAGCCTACAACGATAGCCTCTAAGAATATCCTCCAACTTAAATTATTTAAGATCAGCACGCGTCGTTAAAACAAAAATATTAAAATTTAAGTTTGAAAATTGAAGCATATTTGATTAAAAGTGATAAAACTAAATTAATGAATGTCAAACGCTCTTACCGAATTTCAAATAGACTTTCGATTGTCAACACACACGCCATTTGCTGGCTCGCATGGAACTCTGAGTAGTGAGCTAGTACTGAAGTGTACTTTAAGCAACCTTAAAACAAGCTTAGGTATAAATAAAATGACTTCATACACCTCAATAAATACCTCATTCTCTTTAGTTGAAATAAGGTATATTTTTTATACCTCATAAATACCTCAATATCGTTAGTAGAAAAAAGGTATATTTTTTATACCTCGTAAATACCTCACTCTCGTTAGTTGAAATAAGGTTGATTTTTTTATACCTCATAAATATCTCTTTTGTTACAAGTGTAAGAAAAACAACCTCGTATACCTTAAAAATCACCTTATCAGTCTGGATGATTTGAAATGTATTTTAAACAACCTCAAAACAAGCTGAAGTATATATAAATCAACCTCGTACACCTTAATTACAACCTTTACGACGTATAATTTTTATTGCTATTTTCTCTGCAACCTTAAATATACCTCAAAACAACCTTAATACCTCAAAAATATCTCAAATCAACCTTAAATATACCCTAAATTTTCATAAGGGACGCTAATACTTCAAATATACCTCAAAACAACCTTAATACCTCAAAAATACCTCAAATCAACCTTAAATATACCCTAAATTTTCATAAGGGACGCTAATCAATATTATTGTGATTGTAATTCTTTTTATTTTGTGAAACTCGTGCTTATCGAAATTACTGCCTCTCTGTGTTTTGTATTCGTTATCAAGTCAATTATACGCAGCAACAAAAAAAAGTCTGGTAAAAGTACCGTACTGTACGGTAATGAAAGTTTGGGCAGAAAAAAAAGCATAATACTGGTGATAAAATTAAAATATATGGCATTCAAACCCTTCATATAGTAACGGTTTACAGGAAATTCAGGTTTTCAAAATTATGGCTCTTATTACCACACTTTCAGTAAAAATTCAAAACTGAAAAGTAAACATAACCGAATACATAAATGGTTTTTATGCCTTCTTTAAAGTATAACGATAAAATTACCAGATTTTACCACGCTTACCAAATTTTAACACTTATTCTGAAATAATATTTTGTTTTTAATTTCACCTAAATCATTAGCATAGAGCTTCGGTAAAAATTACTGAGCATTTTAGTTTTCCCATAGAGCCAGAAATTCGATTACCAAATTCATGGTTTAATACCGTATATTTTGGTTTCATGAACCAGAATTATAACTATTTTAAGTACCTAATATATTCATTCATATTTATTTTCACGTAGTTTTTCATGACCTTGTATATTTTGATGAATACTTAGCAATAAAAATACTTGTACAATCATATTGTTATATTTTTTTCAGTGGGTGCAGACTTGAAGATTCCTAATGCCAAAGCCAAAAGGGAATCCATGATAACCACGGCAGCTACAATGAGAGTTCTCAACGTCTTGAGACATTGGGTATCCAAGCATTCTCAAGTACGCGCTAATTCCAATTTTTTTTTTACCCATTGGCAAAATGGGTCTTGTTTTGGGTTTGATGGCATCATACTTTTAAACTGTGTACAAAAGTATTAGTACTGTTTGTCTAAGTTAGGTACTCTGACCGCCACTAAGTCTGCGGCAGTCTGGTGCTATGGAAACAAGAAGAGGGCATTTTAGGGAGGGTAGCTTCGATGAAGAGGTCTCCTTTCCTCTCGCCGAAACCAGTCCTAAAGAGGGACCCCGCACCCCTACTTAAAATAATCATGCCTCGTTACCATAGTCACCGCCACAGCTCCAGACGAATGTCTGGCAGAGTACCTATCTTAGATAAACAGTAAACAGTGCGCATGCGTCGTCATTGCATGCGTTGCTATGGCGACCGCTACTGTTCGATATTTTTTTTTAGAATTCTTTTTTTTTCCTTTTATTTACACCATCAGGCATTTTTAGTGTATTTACATAACGATGATTTAAAGTATTTTTATATTCTTTTTTATTATTAACCTATAATTACTTTCTTGACGGTGGTTTTAATATAAATATGAATAGAGAAGAAGGAAAAATATTTTGTGACGTCTAAAAACACGTACATAGGCAGGATTTTAAAACCGATCCGACGACAAGTGGACAGACATTAATTTAAACAATTTTTGCAACAATTTTAGATTTGAAATGCTGTGACGTTTATCGGATTCAATCTAGAAACGAAAAAAGCATTTGATCAATTTGTAACCAGTGATCGTAAAAAAGAGATCACAATTTTTTCCTTTTTGTAATTACTACTTTATTTTTTATTTTATTATTTTATTTTATCTTTTTATTTATTATGTATTTTTTTTTATTTTCTTTTGAATTCGCCATAAGACAAAATTATCTTAGTTCAAAAATATGCTCATTGCTGATTTTTTTTAATACTTCACAACGTATGAAAAATTCTATATTTTCGGCGAAATTTAAGGACACATAAAAATATTTGGAGGCATTTTCCGCCCTCTAAGTGTTTGAAAGTTTTGAGGACAACTAATGAAATTTCAGGATTGTCCTTGTGATGCCACAATTGGCATTACATATTTATTTGCAATCCTTTTAAATATCTTTCATTACTTAAGCTTATTTTTATTAATGGAATCAGATTTAAACTAAATCAAAGACTTAATCTTCTAAAAACGAACATAAAATATTTATTCTTCTCTTATAGATCAATGTAACGGATACTTTTTATTTCATTACTAATGCAGACTTATTAATTCACTGTCGCCTCTAATCCAAAACAAAAATTTATTTATAACTTTTAATTCTAATTTCTAACCGAAAATATGTTTCAGTTGCATGGTTGTAATAATTCTCATAAATTTGTTGGCGTCTCGTGATCGCCAAGGTATTTTTGAACTCTATATTGTTATGCTGGTTGGCTTTATTTTGGTTATGCTATATTTTGGTAATTCGCCAATTTTGGATCTCCTACCCATGCTTCTGTGTCCGTTAGGAACAAATTACACGTACTTTTTAATTTGGCTTTTGATTAGGCAGGTCGTGGGGATTTATCTCCCATGGCCTGTCCTTATTAATATTATTATGCAAAATTGATTCAACTGAAATTCTTACGGATAATATGTATACTTGGTACCACGAGCTCTGCAAGTATATAAAATAAAAGCTTTTTATTAATTCTGATCAGGTTCAAGTAATATTTTCACCATCCCCTGATTTCAGCATCAATCTTCAATTTGTCAGTATTCTTCAATTAGTCAACTATACCTTACAACCTTCCAACCGCACCCTGAGATTTTCCATCATCACCACTTAAATTGACACCCTTAATCCTCCTTCTTCATAGTCCTCAAGATTTGAGAACGCTTGGTCACCTTATTAGAACGTAAAATAAAGCGTCCCCGCTACAGTTTATGTGAACCAGGGGAATCGCGGAGGATAAGGTTCCACAATTTCATGAGCAAAGACATGATTATGACAATGTGGCAGTATTGCACACAGGCCGCCTTTATTTAATACACCGACATATTGGAACCCATTGATCTGAAGTCAGGTGGTTTTCGTGCTGCCAATGGCGAATGAACCCTAGTTCTTCACAATGCCTTTGACAGTGCCCTAACCAATAAGATATCGCTGGTCTATCTTAAACATATATATTTCATTTAATTTTTGTAAAATTATTACAGAAAGTAGAATTTTTTCTTCTGGAGTATAAGTAAATCAAAAGTAGTTTTTTTTTAATTTTTTTAAAAATTTTATTACATATTTTTGGAAATTTTTCCTTAATTTTGCTATAAAAAAAACTTTAAAATTGCTCAAAAAATCTCCTACTCAATTTTTAAATGGGATAATTTTATTTTAATAAAATTAAACTGATTCGCTTTACGTACCTAGTCGTGAACTTAAAATTATTTCAGTAAGTATAAATTTTTATTCTGAAGTATGGGTACGCCGAAAGTAACTTTTTTTTTAAAAAAAATAAATAAATTTCACTATTTATTTTTTGAAAATTTTGCTTAAATTTGTTTAAAAAAATTTTTTTAACAGTGCGCAAAAAAAAACTCCTATTCGATTTTTAAGCGTCATATTTTTTTAAAAATAAAATTAAACTGATTTGCTATACATATTTAGTCATGAACTTACGATGTCAGAATTTTAAACATTACATTTTATTTTTTTATTAAATTATTGTTACTTAGTGAAATACCATTTTTTTGTCGAAACAGTATTCCTAATGAAAAGTAAACATAATGCTATTTCAATCTCGTATTAGACAAATGAGCAGATTTTTTTTCTTTTTTTCTTTATTGTTGTCAATTGAATTATTTGTCCTATTTTTGATTCCTTTTTTCCTTTTTTTAAAAAAATACTTATTTCTAAACCTCTAATGCACAGTGCCCAAATAAGTAAACTAAAACACCTAAATAAGTGTTGATCTAATGATCGGATTTTTACATGCTAGGACTCAATCTTAATGTTTTAAGGGGGTGACCTCAGTTATGCTAATTAGTTAGTCTAAAATATAGGGATAGGCATTGTTTGGGATGTATGATCCCATTAGTTCCCAAAGGCAGGGATCGGAAATTTGGACGCCTTAGTTTTCCTTTTACTTTTTGCGTATTTTGACATATTTCGCGAACTTTTTAAGCTTGTTAAAAATTCCTTGCACCAGAAAAATAAATGCCAAGGCAATGCCATGCAAAAAGTAGTTTTTAATAACTATTTATAATTATTTTCTTAAATAATCGAAAAAGTTTTGAATTATGAGGTTTAAAATCTTTAGCAACATTTTAAAGAGGGTAATTCCCGAGAGATGGAATTTTAGAAAAGTCAGAAATTTAAAATTTGATTTCTCTGGAACCATTTTACTGATTTTGCTCTAACTTTGCAATTCTATTTTACAATATAAAATTGCATCCTTCAAAATAATTAAACATTATTATACACATTACAATTCAAGATTTTGTCTACCATTATTAAATACAATATTAAAAAATAATAAATTATAATTAAAAATTATTTTTAGCTTGCAAATAATGTTCGGATAAATGACTTTCATAATTTCGCGCAAAAAGTTTTTAAATCGCCTAAAAAGTTCTGGAGATATGGCAAAATACGCAAAAAGTAAAATTAACATTGAGGAGTCACAACTTAAGACCTTTTCTTGACCAAACCATTGGGACCATATTTCCTAGATTGTGGCTATTCCCAATAATTTAGGGATCAGATATGCGTCAGAAAAAAAGGTATGCTTATTCAAAAAAAGTACGCTTTTGTGTCTGATTTCGTAATTTAAAATATCGTTTGCATAAATTAATTAGCACATTTGAGGTCTCCCCTAAAAGTCATTAAGTCCGAGAACGTAAAGATCCGATCATTAAAATCATAAGTTATTCAGGATGGTCCGTTTATTTTTTGCTCACTGCACTTATTTGTTTAAGCATACGAAGTATACATGCAATATTGTGAGCTGATAGGGAAAATTTTGACTCTTCGCTCATTTTATGCAATTACCAGAACAACCAGATTGGTGGGCGCTTTGAGACAGACTTGCGAAAAAGTAAAAATTGTTCTTTTTATTGCTACAAAAAATATTTATTCGCTTGTGATGACAAGCATGTGTTTGCTTATTACACATATAATGCTTAAAATATCAAATTTATTCTAAATGTCTAATTTTAATATCAAACTTTTTGTGAGAAATGTAAACCACTTACTCACCTCTTACTTTACGAACATATACGCCATTCTACGTTGACGAGGCTCTGAACACCTCACGTTATTTTTTATGTTGCACACATTTTATGCGTACAACTTAATAAATATGATAATTACCATGTTTACAGCATATATATATTTAATTCCAAGATTGTAATTTGAGATAAGATTGATAATATGATGAATGATTGTATTTTGGTGATAGATATTATTCAAATGACAGATATTATTCTGATTGTTGATTTTATTCTGATGGATGATTGATTGATTTTTCTCCTTTGAACCAACAGGATTTTGATAATGATCCAAAGCTTCTCCAACTCACAACCGATTTCCTTGAAGAGCTTGTACATAATAACACTTTACTTCCCGCAGAGACTAAAGCCGCTTCTCAACTACTTCAGATGATTTCTAAACAAGACCAAGAAAAACAGACAGTGGACCTTGATTTACTTCTAGCAACTCCCATGGTACTCCATTCTTTCTTTTAACATTTGAAATTTCAATTTTACATTTTCCTATTTTAACATAACTATTATACTTAAAAAAACATAGTAAAAAATAACAGAGTATGTACCAAGTTTTTGACTCTGTGAGAACACAAAAGCATGGCAAACAAAAGCATGGCAATTTTTAACGAAGTGATTTGGTAATGACCTTTGATAAGATCTGTAATAAAATAGAGTTTTAATACCACGCTGTTCGGTAGTTAATATGGTAAATTTTGGTTTTATCTTGATACCCTAAAGCAGCGGTAACAAATTTCTTTCGATTATGGGACCTCTGAAGATTTAACTTCTTCTGGTAGTTAATATAGTAACATTTGGTTTTATCATGATACCCTAGAGCAGTGGTTACAAATTTCTTCCGACTATGGAACCCCTAAAGATTTAACTTCTTCTGGTAGTTAATATGGTAACATTTGGTTTTATCATGATACTCTAGAGCAGTGGTTACAAATTTCTTTCAACTGTGAAACTTCAGAAGATTTAACTTCCTCTGGTAGTTAATATAGTAACATTTGGTTTCATCATGATACCTTGGAGCAGTGGTTACAAATTTCTTCCGACTATGGAACCCCTAAAGATTTAACTTCTTTTGGTAGCTTATATAGTAACATTTGGTTATATTATGATACTCTAGAGCAGCGGCTCCTAATTTATTTCGACTGTGGAACCGCAGAAGATTCAACTTCCTCTGGCGGAAACTCGACATTATGAAAAAAGAAGCTCATTAGCAGCTGTGAATAAATGTGAAAAAAAAAAGAAATACCAATTATTTTAAAAATTAATGTGAGGAAAGAAAATAATTGTGAAAATAAATGTGTAGAATGAAAATTAGCGGAATTATGGTTTTTGAAAAATAACTGTTATAAACGTTGAGAATAGTTAACTGAGAAACATTTACCTGAATTTAGTTATTTTATTTCGAATTTTTGCTCGATGATTTATTGAATTTTTTTTTATAAATGCATATTCTTTTCATATTTTATTCAATATGTCATTGATTTTTTCTTTCGAATTTTGTTATTTTATATAAATAAGATCATAGTAACAGNACTTCAGAAGATTTAACTTCCTCTGGTAGTTAATATAGTAACATTTGGTTTCATCATGATACCTTGGAGCAGTGGTTACAAATTTCTTCCGACTATGGAACCCCTAAAGATTTAACTTCTTTTGGTAGCTTATATAGTAACATTTGGTTATATTATGATACTCTAGAGCAGCGGCTCCTAATTTATTTCGACTGTGGAACCGCAGAAGATTCAACTTCCTCTGGCGGAAACTCGACATTATGAAAAAAGAAGCTCATTAGCAGCTGTGAATAAATGTGAAAAAAAAAAGAAATACCAATTATTTTAAAAATTAATGTGAGGAAAGAAAATAATTGTGAAAATAAATGTGTAGAATGAAAATTAGCGGAATTATGGTTTTTGAAAAATAACTGTTATAAACGTTGAGAATAGTTAACTGAGAAACATTTACCTGAATTTAGTTATTTTATTTCGAATTTTTGCTCGATGATTTATTGAATTTTTTTTTATATAAATGCATATTCTTTTAATATTTTATTCAATATGTCATTGATTTTTTTTTTTTTTTGAATTTTGTAATTTTATATAAATAAGATCATAGTAACAGCAGAAACATTAATTAAATGAAGGGTTATTGATTGGATATAAATATTCAATCAACAATCCATAATTTGATTTGTTTGAATGCTTGACCTAGAGTCGCGGTGGCTCAGGGGATAAAGCGTCCATCTTCCAATGAGGTCACCTACGTTCGAAACAGAGTGATGGCTTATTCAGCTCTCGAAAACAGAATTATTATAATAAAAATTCTGCTCCCGGCTGGGACCGACCACAGTGCTGACGTAAAAGTATCCTCAGTGGTGGAGCGATCATGGATTAAAATCCCCATCCCGTCGCACAGTGGGCCAGCATCCAAGGTTTCGTGGCCGAAATTAGTATTTCGATAACATTTGTTTCAAAATTTAGAGGTTTTTATGTGCAGGTAAATTGAATTGATAGTTGAAATTTCGAAATACACTAAAAATTCCAAAAAAAACAAACAAAATGGAGGCTGAAATATGGCGAGCAAAAATAAAAAAAAAATAATATAGTACGTTTAAATAATTAAATATAGCTTTGAAAATATAATAAATTTCGTAATTTTATATTAAAAATGAAAAGCAAATTATATTTCCGAAGTAATATTACAAAATAAATTGAATTAATTACAAAATAACGCAGAAACATGAAAAAAAAGCATAAATTTTGCTTTTTGGTACATTTAGTTCACCTTTGCAATATAGGTAAAATGAGACAGATTTTTTCGAAAGAAGAAACATCAAAGAAGACAGCAAAAAAAATAATTACCTAGTAAAACTTTCTGGAGATAAGTTTCTAAAGTTATTCAAACATTATAAAATGTCAAATGATAAGATATAAACTACAAGTTTGTCTAGAGTACCAACTAATCCAACAAATTGAAAAATTGTACGATAATTTCAGACTAATTACTCTGATAAAAATGCATGAGTAAGGGGAAATTCCTATATATATTTCTGAAATATAAATTTAAAGGTTACATTTAAAAAAAAAACATTTTTTACATATGTTTCACTACATTAGACTCTTGTCGGTCCAAAAAGTAAATTCTAATGTGTGGAATGATTATGAATACTTAATTTGGGCGATATTAAAACTGCCTACACATGTTTCAGTTGAAAATTTAATTTTGACTTTTGACCAAAGATCATGGTCTTCTGGCCCACTGTGCGTCGGGATAAATGTGGGAGGTTTTAATGATTTCCCTGCCCATCTAATATAAATGTGGGTTTATTCCATCAAAAAGTTCTTCGTGAAAGCTAGTTTGTACCAATTCTTGATTCAAAAGTTCCCTTGTCCTCTGGGTTGGATTCAAAATTACAAGGCTACGGAGCTAAATGTTGACAGTGGTAAACTTGAACATGTTTGGCTTGAGCTGTTCCACACCTGTTAAAAAATCTAAAGTAAAATAAATGATATAAAGTGATTATCAGTGCTTAATGATAAAAACAGAAATATAATTCAACTGCATCATGATCATAAAAATTGAAATATTAGCTTTATTTACTGTATGATATATTAACTTGAAATAATGTATGAATTATTGATTTCTATTATTGTACTTTAATTTAATTATTGTGATTAGACTTTCGTTAAATTAAAGATAGGTGGAAGTCTTAGAAATAATAGAAATAAATGAATAATTTTTAAACATGGAGATAAATAAATAGATCAAGCCTACAAAATTTTCAACAAATTTTAGCGTGAATATTTCTAATGCTACACAGGTTAGTGGAAGCCGATGAGCAAATTCTACTAATAGAAGTCTGTCTTCAAAAATGTCACTTAATTTGATCTCGAAAATTAATCTGACTGTTGTAAAAATATATATAATCCTGCAGTGTTTTACATAATTTAGAGATTTTTCCAGAGCAGAGAATTATATAAACAATACAGATAGCGCATTTGAATAGGAGATGACGTGATTTACGATGATATTTAGAAAGAGATTTGCGTAACTAACATGAGATTATGATGATATTTAAGTAAATTTAAATATTTGAGTGAACATGATTATATAAAGTTAAGTATTATGAATTATTTCCTAATAACATATGAGATATTGGGCTCTATTATTATACTTTAACTTAATTGTTGTACTTAGACTTCTGTTAAGTTAAAGTTAGGTGAGATTCTTAGAAATAATAGAAATAATTGAATGATTTATTAAACAATAACTTAAATAAGTAGATCAAGAAAAGACAAATAAATAGATCAAGCCAACAAAATGTTTAGTAAATTTTAGTGTAAATATTTTTCTAAAGGTACACAGCTTAGTGGAAGCCGAAGAGCAATTCTTATAATAAATTCTTATATTTAAAAATGTCACTTAATTTAGTCTCTAAAATTGATCTGATTGTTGTAAAAATATATAATCTTGCACTGTTTTACATAATTTAGAGATTTTTCAAGAGCAGAGAATTATATGAACAATACAGATAGCGCATTTGAATAGGAGATGACGTGATTTACGATGATATTTAAAAAGAGATTTACGTAACTAACATGAGATTATGATGATATTTAAGTAAATTTAAATATTTGAGTGAACATGATCATATAAAGTTACGCATTATGAATTATTTGCTAATAACATATGAGACATTGGCTTCTATTATTATACTTTAACTTAATTGTTGCACTTAGACTTCGGTTAAGTTAAAGTTAGGTGAGATTCTTAGAAATAATAGAAATAATTGAATGATTTATTAAACAATAACTTAAATAAGTAGATCAAGAAAAGACAAATAAATAGATCAAGCCAACAAAATGTTTAGTAAATTTTAGTGTAAATATTTTTCTAAAGGTACACAGCTTAGTGGAAGCCGAAGAGCAATTCTTATAATAAATTCTTATATTTAAAAATGTCACTTAATTTAGTCTCTAAAATTGATCTGATTGTTGTAAAAATATATAATCCTTGCACTGTTTTACATAATTTAGAGATTTTTCCTGAGCAGAGAATTATATGAACAATACAGATAGCGCATTTGAATAGGAGATGACGCGATATACGATGATATTTAAAAAGTGATTTTCGTAACTAACATGAGATTATGATGATATTTAAGTAAATTTAAATATTTGAGTGAACTTGATTATTATTATTGATTATGATTGATATACTGATATTATGATTGATATATTGAACACGATTATGAATTATTTGCTACAAAAAAATAAGTACGTTGCTTTCATGGGAGAATTTAGTTGAATCGAAAAGAATTTGTCACTGCTTCCTATTTTTCCTTAACAAGGCATTTTTAAAACAATTTCAGCACTTTCTGTCCAAAATTTTGTTTAAAACTTTATTCTGTGATAAATGTAAAAGAAATATTCAAATAAAATAATAACTTTTTTTAAAAATTTAGACTGCTAGTAAAGAAAATATAGAATCACTATCAGCTTTAGAAATTGCTGAAGGAATGACATATCTGGATCATAAAATTTTTATTTCCATTCGAAGCGAGTAAGTTGTTTTGAAATTTCATATTTTTTTAACGTTGTTTTTTTTGAAATTTATATAGTATTGATTTTTCTTCTTTCTTTAATAGACACATTTTATTTGGAATTTTTATGTAACACTTAGCTAGTTCTAAAATAAGCATTTTAGTTGTTTTCATAATGTATTTTGTTTGTTGTTGTCCGTACTTTTTTTATTTTGTTGATTGTTTTTTTTTTTTTAAATTTCCTCTGTAAAAGTTATATTAGATTGGTTTTTTATTAATTGAGTCATTCAAAGCTATTTGTTCTTTTTAATTTGAATTTCATGATTTTCTTAGATGATTTAATAAATGCATTTTTGTTTTTTGATGTTTTTAAATGATACTTACTCTGTAAAAAATTTTGGTGTATCATTGCCATCATTTTTGGTGTCAATGCAAACTAAATTTATTTTTAAGTAGAGTTCTGTAGATTAATTATACAAAAACTATACAAATTGGAAAATTTATACCGTTTTTATTATTGGTAGAAAAACTATATAAATTGGCTACTTTCAGCGATTATTTGAAAGAATAAGTGGGAATATATTACTAAAAATGCGTCTTTTTATTAAACAAAATGTTTTTGCAATAAAACCATTAAACTTATTCCAATACTCGTGAAAATATATGTTATCGTTAAACAAATACACGAAAATAGAGAAAAAAAATAAATAAAATTAAAACAGTTAATAATTAAATGAAATTATAACTACATAGTAAAATTTGTCATTTCGTCTGAGCACCAAAAGTGAGGGCAACTGCAAACCAAAATACATCACAGTAAGGTTATAATAAATCTACAATATTCAATGTTTGTACTTATTTTTGCAAAAAAAAATCCAAGGGTTTTTAATATTGCATTTTGTGGGTTCTTTTACTTTTTTTTAAAATAAAAAATACGTTTTGTTGTTTGTTTTTCAATTATTTTCTCCTTTAAAATTTATATTTGGTTGATTTTTTTAAATTTTCATACAGTTAAAATTGCATTTATAACTGTTACAATAGATCATTATAAAAATTATTTATTGTTGCTAACTGTTTTTGTGCATTATCATTTTTACAGAGTTATAATAATTATTTGCTTATATCCATTATTATTAAATAATTCTTATTATTTAAGCGATGATTGAGTAGAACTGTTGTTATCGCTGGATTAATTGATTTTTTTTAATGATAAAATTCTTAGTGTTCGTAAGTATTTATTCTAAACCACTTAATCCTTTGACACAGAATTTTTATTACGCATTTTTTTCATTTTCTTTTTCATTCTTTTGCATTAATTTAGATCAAACTAAGTGCAATATATTATATTTAGCTTCAATTTATTTTTATGAAATTCAGCATAAAACACCGAGGTTCTTTTCCGCGTTTCAGATAAAATCTTTTAATCATGACTGACTTCCAAACCATAATGTTTAAAATTTGAACTTGCCTGCATTTAGTTATAACTGAAAGAAACAGTGATTAATCATTGAAATTCTTTAATTTACGAAATCAATAATTGATAAAAAAAATTTTAACGTTATAAAACATGAAATTAAAACGTGAAATAAAGAAAATTGAACTACTTATTTCTAGATTTCATATTTAAGTACAAATGCAATTTTGATAACTTTCAGACTGTTTTTTTAAAATTCAAAAATTCAGAAATATATTTTTGCTTGTAATTTGAGTGTCAGAAGAGAATATGTACAAATAATACAAATGGGACACCTGTGTCATTAATTTACAAACTAACTGTGTCATTAACTACAAATTTACAATAAATTTCAAATTAATTTGGGGGAAAATTCATTTCAGAAGTCGACTTACAGAAGTCGATTTATTTTCTGAAAGCTTTTATCTACAATATTTCGGTGTAATCTAAAACACTTTTAAGTGGATTTTTAACCTTTTTTTAGTCAAAATTAAAGATGTTTTTCTATTCGAAACGTGATCCTAACATTTTTTAAAAAAAAGCTTAAAATGGAGTTGAAATTACATTTTAGTCTAAAAATGTAGTGACGCTAGACGAAGATAAAGAAAACAAAATAAATATACACCTAAGAGCCATTACATTATGACCACCCTCCCTCTATAACAATGGGCTCGCCCAGGTTTTCATGGTTTCTCGCCCAGGAACAACGTTTTCATGGGGCACATTAGGACCCATCATCCTCATAGAACAATCCCTGACGTCTGTAAGCTGCTTGAACATAGTTACTGACCAGGTTCACATATTAATGCAACAGTTCTTCCTGCGGGGGATGGTGTTTACCAACAGAATAATGCACCATGTCATAAGGATCGAATCGTCATGGATTAGTTCGAGGAATATTCCAGCTACTTTCAAGTCATATCTTGACCCCAAATTCACCTGACCTTAATCCAATCGAGCATTTGTGGTCCTACTTGGAAAACCAAATTCATGTTGCCACGCTACCCCCTCGCAATGTGAGAGAATTGCAGGACCAGTTGGTGAGCGCTTGGTACCAGATACCTTTGACTACCTATCAACCCCTTGTGGAATCAATGCTACGGTGGGTGCTAGCAGTTTTGAGGGCTAAAGGTGGTTCTACATGTTGTTAGCAGTGTGGTCATAATGTAATGGCTCTTCGGTGTATATAGCACCATCTTTTCTTTTACCTTCGCTCCATAATAATTTTTACGAATCAAAATCTTCCTTTTTTCATTTCTGAGCCCTCTGCCATCTTTTTTTATATCATACTGATACTATTTTAAGTTATATAGAGAGAATACATTTCTTTGAAAAAAGGTAGGTGTTGCCAGCTTAAAATTCCAAAATTCTGCCTGTCTTTCCGTAAAAGGAAAATTTGTACAAAATTTGTAAGTTTTGAGCATATATTTGGCAATATACCTAAATATAAAATTTCATTCTATTCTTTGACGAAGACTCGGGCCATCGTAAAATTTATTTTATAATTTTCTTGCGAATTTTTTTATATTAATAACTTATCTTAATGATAATTTTGCAATAATAAATCTTTCGTAAAATAGCATTTGAAAAATGAGAAAAACATTTCCTAGATACTTTTCTTAACATTTTCTACGGATTTTTAAATTATCATGTGTTTTCTTATACATTAACTTTATAACTAATAATTTTTGTTGTGGTCAAATTTTATTTAAAAAAAATTAAAATTACTCAACTCATCCTTGTTGCTCTTCTATTTTTAGAGAATTCCTTGGTCAAGCATGGATGAAAGACAGTAAAACTACAAAAGCCCCGAACATTTTATTAATGACTCGGAGGTTTAACGACGTGAGCATTAAACATTCTTTCATCTGTATTATCAAAAATCAGTGATATTTTTTTGATCTGTTCTATTTTTGTTGTGTTATTTTCTTTTCTGCATTTTTATGAATTATTGCACATAAAAAAATTCGACTAGAACACGGAAAAGTTCTGACAGTAAAGTTTCCAGAGAGTTTCCGTATGCTACGGAAAAAGGACGATGTCAGAAATTTACGCTTCACAGAAATTTACGCACCAGATATTTTCCATAAGTCTGGCTATGGTGGAGAAATTTGGAATAAAATGGCTGTTTATAGTCATGCTTTAAAAAAGTGTTTATATAAGATTTATTGAAATCAAAAGTACTTGAAATAGAAAAAGTAAGTTATGCGCTGAGAGATTGAAAAAAGTAAGAAGACAAAAAATCGCCATACTATTACTGAGATAAATTCTGTTTGATTAAATTTAGTACTAGGCACTAAATAAATTAAAATTGTAAAACATAAGCTAAGTGCTAAAAAGAATTAATGGGAAAAGGATAAGTTATTTAGGAAAAGAGAAAAAATTCACTGTACTATTATTGTCGCCAATGATGCTTAATAAATTTTGGTAATAGGTTCTAATGAAATACAAAAAACAACCCATGTGCATAAAAGCACTGTTAATAAAGAAAAGATATTTATTAGTTTAGGAGAAACGTAAGAAATCGCCGTACCGTTATTGACCCCAATACTTCTTAATTAATTTTAATAATAGTTACCGATTGAAGTGAGAAAAAAGCTATGTACCAAAAGCAAAAGTAATTTAGAAATGGTACTAATCTGTTTAAGAAAAGGGTGAAAGCTCGCCAGATTTATATTGACTTCAATGATTCTTAGTTAATTTTGGCAGTAAGCACTTTTGGTTATTGTTAATTGATGCCAAATTTATTAATATTAATATATTTAGTATATCAATTAAAACTGCATCGATACTTTGCAGTTTTAACATCAATACTGTGGGAAACTCTTTTCCTACTGAGCTGTGGGGAAGGTCGAATGATATAAGTACCAGGAAAAATCACGTGATTGTGGTATATTTTACCATGTGACTATGGTGAGTCACATGATGCAACAGCATGTAATCATCATGGCCTCGAACTACAACATCATGCCAAATGATGCTTAATGATAATGATAAATGATAATGACAGTTAATCTTTACTTTTATAGGATGAACAATTAAAAACATGTTTTGCTTAAGTTAATAACGTAAAATCACCGGTATGAGAAAAAAACACTAGTGCATAAAAAATGCAGTTTTTTTAGATTTATTGTTGGCACATGTCTTTCAGTTTTCTATTTGATTTTGTAGTGTTACTCGCTATTGATTTATTGATAGTTTACTTTTTTTTCACCCTGTACAGAGAACGGTTATTCTAATAGTTTATTAAAGCTGAATTAAGTCCATTTTAAATTAATACTATATTAAAACACATTAATGAAAAGACAATAGGGGGTAACATTTTTCAAGCTCATCTACACTTAGTTTTAAAATGATATACTATATGGACCTCATTATCATAATATGCAACTGATTTGTCACAAATATACTAAAAAAATGACACTCTAATTTTTTACTACTCACTAATCCTTATTTTTCTTTTCTTACATGAAAAACACAAAAATGAAATGCATTCATTCTATATTATATCAATATTTTCTCACATTGTTAAATAATAATATAACTGTGCGTTTTATGACTTATATTCGTTTGTTCTTTAGGTTAGTCGCCTTGTCGTATCCGAAATTATGCGTGCAGCAATGATGTCTTCTCGAGTCACAATAATCGAGAAATGGGCAGCTGTAGCCGACATCTGCCGCTGTCTGCACAATTTCAACGGCGTCCTGCAGATTTGTGCCGCTTTCATGAATAGTTCAGTCTTTAGGCTGAAAAAGACTTGGGAAAAAGTTTCTAAAACAGTAAATAGATTATTTTTTATATATTTTATAGACAGTGTGTTCTCTAACCATCACCCTTATTACTAATTTTTAATTTTTAGTACGCAAAGAAAATGTTGACTCCATCTGATCTTACATTATTAACATATATTAAAAAGAGTAAATAATAAATTATTATAAATAATCTCTAAGTGTACCCCATAAATAATCATTAAAACGTTAAATGATCGATTTTTATTTGGACTAACCGTTTTAAAATTCCTTTACAGTGAAAAATTTATTAGAATTCCTAAGAGTTGTTATTATTAATATTATTATCATTAATATTATTATCATTATTATTATTATTATTAATCCAAAATTTGACTTTGTTAATTTTTATTCTATGCAAGGGCTGTAATTTTTTATCTACTACCTGATCTCAACATGTCAAATTTATATTTTAAAGATCAAAAATAAATCATTAGAACATGCAATGTGTGGGCCGCAGATGATCATAAAACAATTAAATGATTATTTTCAAGTTGGACTAATATTGATGATAGAAGTTAATAGAATTTTTAGAAGTTATAATAGTTTATAGAGAGCCGTGATGACTCAGGGGATAGATCGTTCGTCTTCCAATGAGGTGAACCGGGTTCGAATCCCAGTCGATACGAATTCCGCATCCGGCTTGCACCGCGAACACAGTGCTGACGTGAAATATCCTCAGTGGTTGACGAATCATGGGTTAGACTTCCCTTGTTAGCCAGGCTGACCATGGAAGGTTCTCGTAGTCTTCCTCTCCATGTAACGCAAATGCCGGTTAGCTCTATCAAAAAGTCCTCCACAAAAGCAAATTTCTCCCAATACTCGATCCAGGAGTTCCCTTGTCTTCTGGAATGGGTTTAAATTACAAGGCTACGGAGGTGTTCAGCGACGGTTATAATACAAAATAAAATAGTTTGTAGAAGTTAAATTAAAATCCTAAAAGGGATTTTTTTGGTTTAAAATTAAAGGGTGACTTCATTAATAACTTGAAGTAAATTTTCATTTGCCATTTATTTTTTAAGCACCGTAGTATTTCTTTAACATTGTGCCGTAAGACTCCATCGTTCTTATTGATTAAACCTGGGCACGTAAATTTATACGTAAATATTATTCGCTCTTCATGTTAAAGCTAAGAAAGAAAAAATAAGCTGCTTTACTTTTAATGGATATAAACATACTTTATAATTAAGTTGCACTGATTAATTTGAACTTTAATTTCCATAAAATAATTTAATGTTTTATGGTCGCCGCAAGTGAAACTTTTTTATACCTGGTGTTGTATTACTATAAGCAACAATATAAGCCACACAGTGTAAATTGGTATACACTAGATTATTGTGCTTTTATTTCAAGAGATACTTAAAGACATGATCTTCACTTCTTTTCTTTTTTAGGAAATAATTAGTTTCTTCTTTTTCTTTATTTCCTCTTAGGAGTTTAAATGGTAATTCTTATAAATAATTTATGTTACTTTTAGTATTTTATTATACGAAATTTTAGTGTACGAAATTTAAGGAGTCATAACTGCAGAAATCGAGAGTACAATCATCAAAACATACATTATTACCTCAAAGCCTTATAGATATTATTTTAAAAACAATTTGTATAAACTCCACCAAGTTTCATTAGATAATCAAACTGGTTGTGATATTTTACATCTCATTATCCTCACAAATTTCAATGGTGTTTATTCTTAACTTAAATATTTATTTTCAAATCCAAAATATGCCTACTTTTTGTATTGATCTTTGATAAAGATTTTAAATACATGTATTAGCTTTGGCCATCGGTCAGGACCAGACACCCTGCATATTTTGAGTTAAACTTGCGCTTATTGCTCGCAAAACCCCTTATTCATACATTTATAGAAACTATTCAAGAATGTTAACGATGATTTGTAATTTTTCAGACAAAGCAAAGCATTGACAAACTTCAAGCCTTGGTTTCAGCCGACGGAAGATTTCGAAATATGAGAGACGCGTTGCACAGGTAAATACAATTTAAATATCTGACTATAATTTAAATGTCAAGTGATTGATTTTGGAAAATACGACAATAAAAGTTGTCACTAAATTTATTGAAACATAAAAAATTTAAAATTTTTAAATATAAGAGAGTTTTAATAGAAATGAATGATTTCCATGATGCTTAAACAATACATCTATCTTCTGCTGTGTATATATATACATAAACTTTTTAAGACCGTGTCCTCATCAGGTAAGTTGGTAATATTGAACCGCTCAGTTCATATTAATCCAGATGGTTAGTCAAACACATATAAATGAAAATTGATGCTGTCAGTTTTAAAAGGGGGTCTGTAACATTTTTACCCAAATAAATGTTTTATTGGTCTCGGAATAACAATCACTGATTATCAAACACTGAGTAATTTTCTAGACTGCCTAAAGAAGATAATACAACAATTTGGAAGCAATTAAAACGATTTTTCCACAATTGCCACTTTTTTTTTGGTTTTTTCTCGAAAGTGCAGATTTGTAACATACCCCCTTTTAGCATTGGCAGCTTCAATTATACTTTACTTTCAGTAAAATTTTTTATAAACTGCACTTTTCTCATGTGAGGAACTCGTGACTTGTTTTATTTTTGAAAAATATCACCTGATTGGGCGTATATAAATATTAACGTTAAAGCCTGATGAAAAATAAACTTATTTACTTATCAAAAGACATTCTAAGATAAGGTTTGACAGATAGTGAAAGACTATCAGTAAAGATAGTGAAGATAAGGTTTGACAGATAAGGACAATCTGCTTTTCAATAAAAACAACCTAATGAATGAAAATAACACTTTACTTTCGCAAATTTTACTTTATTTTCACTAATACATTGAAACTTTATAATACAGTAAATTGTTACTACAATAATAGTGACAAAAATTTATGATTTACACTTTTATCACGTGAATCTACCAATCTTTGGATTCATACCAATTAATACAAATTAATAGAACTTATGTAATCTTTTCTTAAGGTATAAATTTTGACTCTGGTTTAAAAATTTGTAGATGGGTAATAATCAAAAATGATTGCAAAACAACTGTGAAGAATGGTGAGTCAGACTAACAACTTACAGAATCTCCTAGTACTTAATAAATACTTAATATTTCAAATACTTTGTGATATTTCGCTAATGCATAAGGTGATTATCTGAAGAATTTACTCTGCTATACGGTATTATGATCCCGCACGAATATTAATTATTAAAACATAAACTGTAAGTGTGACTCAAATCAAATAAAAACGAACGTGAACACTCACTCATAAGAAATATTCTTAGCCAAAATTGGCAACACTGTTGTTTCATGTAGATACAACCATCTTTACTATAGGAAATTTGGATAATGAAAGCAAGATAGGTCAACACAATCTTTTCTTCATTGTTCTGGAGTTTAGCATAGTTAAAGTATGTTCATTCTACTGTGGAAATAGAGTCAAGTAAAGAAGAGAAGAACTAGGCGTTGTCTAATTCTCGGTAGCTGAAAGTGTTGGAACATACGAAATTTGTCGTTACTGTCGTTAGATCGTTTCGTACGGCAAACACTGCATGTTCCTAGAAAGTGTGTACAGTCATTGAACGATGCTGAAATTCGTCATAAAATCAAATTGCTGGGGAATACTGTCAGGATTATCCTTTTGCAAGATAATGATCGTCCCCATACGGTTAATTGATGAGGGATGAGATTTACAGATCTGACTGGGAAACACTTTTACATCATCCGTATAGTCCAGATTTTTCTTTTTATGACTTCCACACTTTTTGAGACCTTTAGTTAAGCATTCTTGGAAGTTGTTTTCATTCGGGCAACTAGGTTGTGAATTTGACGTCAACCTAATTCTTCTTTAAGACCTGAATTGATTATTCCATCTCCCAGTGGCATAAATTTGTTATAGATTTTAGCAATTACTTTGTGACCTTGAGTAATACATTCGTAAGATTTGGTTTCAATCGGGTAATGAAATGCAAGAGCGGACGATGCTGTAAATCTGCCATCGATTTACTTCTTCTACAAAACTGGAATTGCATTTCGCAGAAGAATGAACTTGTTAAAGTCTTTGGCAATTACTTTGCGACCTTAAGCAAGACATTCGTGGGCGTTGGTTTCAAACGGGCAAAAAATTACAATAGTGGACGAGGTTGTGAATCTGCCTTCGATTTACTTCTTCAAGACCTGAATTAATCACCCTATCTCCCATTGCCATAAATTTGTTACATACTTTAGCAATTACATTGGAACATTAAGTAAGACATTCGTGGGTGTTGATTTCCATCTGGCAAAAAATTACAAGAATGGACGAGGTTGTGAATCTGCCATCGACTTACTTCTTTCTCTTGAACTACATTTCCCAGTGGAATAAACTTGTTAAAGTTTTTAGCAATTGTTTTTCAATGGAAAAAATCTTATAATCCCATTTCCTTGTCCGATTATTTGAATGTGCCTTACAGAAACTGAAATTTGAAAATAGTATTTAGTAAAATTGCTTACCTTAATTGTTTGACTTCCTCTAATGTTCTGTGATTTATTTAGATGTGATCCTCCTTGCATACCTTATTTGGGTATGTATTTAACAGATCTATCCTTTATTGAAGAAGGTACACCAAATTTTACCGATGAAGGATTGCTCAATTTTTCAAAAATGAGAATGGTAAGTAAATTTCAGAAATTTAAAAAATTAAGGCATTCGCAACTTTCAAATAACATCGCTTTACAACAGTGCTTTGCTTGCTTGCATTTTCTGGAATGCTTATTAATTGTTGGACATAGGTTGTTTTTACATTTCGTTTATAGTTTTTAATGAATTAAATGACAAATTTAGAAGGTCATTTTTTAGTATTTTATGCTAGATTCTTCTTTAAGAAAATTATTTTTAAGCAACGAGTGCAACGGTAACTGATTTTGGAGAGCAGGATATGCTGACATTAGTATTAAATTAGTATTCTACTCATAATGTTCACCACAGTTAACAATTAAGTCCAGTATGTATCACTACTGCTAAACCATCTAAGAGAGCCAGGTGAGCTCAAGCAATGTGGAACTCAGCTCCTAATGAGGCAACCTAGGTACAAGTCCCGAGAATGACTGATCAATTCTTAAATTGGGCTCGGAACATACCCACAACAGTAATTACGAAAACTATTTCCATTAAAAGTGGAATAAGAAGTTAGAATCCTCACTTTGTTGAGATAACCATTGAATGTTTTTTTGAGGTTTTCCTTTAATTGTATCGAAAATGTGGGTTAGTTTCATCAAAAAGAACTCCATGAAGGTGAGATTTTCCCAATGTTTGACTCAGGAGTTTTTTTGCCACTTAGATTGGATTCAAAATTAGGAAGTTATGAAAATGAACACTGATATCAGCAAATCCAAAAGAAAAAGCTCTTTAAACGTCGGTGATTAGATAAAATTTTATCATTATTATGGGAGTGTTAATTATCATTATTATGAGCTTTTTAATTTCGTTAAAAATTCGGAAACTGTTTCTGTTCAAGTTTTTAATTTTATATTATTTTTTTAACCTAAATAAATGCAACTTTTTATTGTAATTGTTTTACTAGCTACTAATCTGTCAACAATGTAGTTTCAATAGGTGGGTCTAGCTGTTAATTTCTGGTTTATAACCGTATTAGGTAAAAGCAGTTAATAAACGGTTCTCATTTATGGTTATTTAACTGTTTTTTTAACTGTGTAAACTAACAATTAAACAAATTGCTATTTAACAATTTTTTTCCAAGTAATTTCTAACAGTGTACGAGTATAAGCTTTCTAGCTGTAGCCGGAGTATCAACTTCTTGTTTCTTATTCCAACTTCTCACTGAAACACGAGATAAAGCAATATTTGTGTATACCATGGTAACGGGGAGGGGTCAAGTGAAGAGAAGGGGCAATTTACATGACTTTGAAATGCATATTGCATTTACAAAGACTATAGTAGGTGACAAACATTCAAATCTATTATATTATCTCAACTTTGAAATTTTATTATGCTTACAGACAATAGAAAAATATATTTTAAAAGTTAGTCAAACCTCTCACGTTTATCCCTAATAGCCTATTTAGTTTTATTAATGATTTTTTTTTAATATTTTTTATTTAGATTGCTCATGTTATCCGAGAAATTCGGCACTTCCAACAAACACCATACAAAATAGAAATGAGTCCAAAAGTAAGTAAAAAAATATTTTATTAGAGAGATTTCGCAAATTGACGTTAGCTTCCTTACGTAAGATTTCAAGTAATTGCGCTTGCATTCTTCTAGTGCGCATGCGTCAGTTCTGGTGAACTGCGCTTGCGCCCGTGAAAAAAATTCAAACTTACGTGAGTGAAAATAAAAGATTTTGAAAAAATCCGTTTATTTAAAAACGCTAACTTAGTGAAATATCATTTTAACTTTGACCACAAAATCAAAACAAACATTTATAATGGACGTAGACTATATCTTTAAAGCTGCGGCATACAATACAACATGCCTTGCTCTGCAGAAAAATGCGGTTCTGTGAGCAGAACAATTTGGTAGACTATAAACTTTGATGAATTCAGTGATAAAGAATGAAGCTTATCATTATTATTAATAGCAATATTTAAAAAAATATTATTGAACTTCTATTGATTATATAATTTCTATTGAATATATAATTTCTTTTAACTGAATTGTATAATTAAAATAAATATTACTTAAAATTTTAAAATAGCAAAAATATATCTAATTTCTTAAGAAACTACCTCAATTAGACTACCATAGTGTTAAACAAAAAGTAAATAAAATTATTTTTTTATTGAATAAACTAGTTGTTGTAAGACTGCACGATTCCCTTCTCAATTTCATCAATGCACTTCTTTAAATTTGCATTCCACGTCTATGTTTTTAGTTCGAAGGTAGATTTAGACAGAAAACAACATTTATCAGCTATAAATAGAGTGCTTGTAGCTTTGTTCTTGTAGCGTAAATCAAGTCAACATTACGTAAAGATATGTAGTATCTAAAATAAACACGAGCATGCGCAGTTGCTTCAATCTTATGAACAGGAGTGTACGAAAGATAACGTAAAAGTGCAAAATCTCTGTATTACTTAGCTTTTGCAAGCCGCTTTGCCCACTAATTTTTTCTCGTAATTAATGCACTATTTAAAAACGATAATAGATAACGAAAAGGAACGATAGGAAAGATAACGAAAAGCTAAAACAAGTAAAAAAGATTCACGAGGAAGAGTTGAAAGTTTATAAGTGAATAGTGCAAACAAAGTGTTCTATATTATATTTTATAGCAAACAAAGAATATCATAGAATATCATACATAAACGAAACAAAGAATATCATATATAGAATATCAGCAAACAAAGTGTTCTGTCTATATTATATTTTAATTTCATTAATGCGGATTCAATAATAATAACTTTATTCATTGTTAGTGTTTTTTAATGAAAAAAGTATGAATCGTGCTGTTACGCTTTTTAAGGGTCATAAAACAGACGTGCTCGAAAAGCAAAAGAAAGCACTGATGACAGTTATGAAAGACGTAATATTGGAAGGCGCAAAACGTGCCGTCATTCATGCTGTTTTTTAAAAAGCATAATTATTGTTTCGTTTCTTCAGGTTTTTCTATTGCATGCCATTTATTTCAATTTAATTTGTTTCAATAACTTATTATTTCCTAAAATATTTAATTTTTAATGGTGGAATTAGTTTTAAGAATTTAAATTATTTATTAAAATCTTTAAGATTTTACGCACGAACACATTTCAAATGGATGTAACTTAGTAGCGAGCGAAGCTACCATGGTTTTCAAAGCAGACCATATAAGAATGCATAGCAATTAGGATCATGTGCGCATTAGCATTAGATGCAATCTAAATTGCATAGCAGTTAAGATTGCATAGCAATTAGGAAGTTTCAGCCAGCAGGGGAAGATCCCCGCAAGTTACATATATTATTGAATCTAGTTTATTTGGCATTTATGTATCAAAAGCATATGAATACTAGCATTATATGATGTATAAACGTTTTATTGTACTGTGTTTTCTCAATTACACTCTTCATACTCATTGTTTCATTCATCGGCATATAAATACGTTAATTTGGAGGCGATATTGAAATTTATTATCCAAAAAGTTTCTGAGCAATATGTTATCCAAAATGCTTCTGTACAATGTATTATTTAAAATGTTTCAGCGATAAAATTTTAAATGAAGCTATTGCGAGATTTGAACTGTGAAATGTTTGAGCTTCTTTTTCAAATTATTATTTTTTTAAAAACGGCTCAAAAATAATCTAGCTTAAAAATTTTTAGCTTTGTTATAAACATGCAAACTTTTATTACAATTCAACGTTTAATATTGAAGGAATCATTTAATCATAGTTATAACCGAAATTACTTCGAATACGAAGTAATTTTGGTTCATTATTTGATATGGGTTAATATATATATTGAATTCGCATTAAATCATTTATATATCTGTAAGAAACATATCTGTTTTTCTGTCTTCTTGACAAAGCAAACTAAAAATTCAAGACAAAACGTTCTTGTTATTAGTCATTACTGTATTTGTTAGCTTTTTAATAAATAGAGGGCGCCATATATTATGCACCATCTATAGTGAATCCGATACTTTTTCAAATACTTTATTCTGATTTGAATGGAGAAATCAGAATATAGTTTGGCAACAAAAAGATTCGAACTATATGTCAAAAGGGTCCTCTTGAATACATTATGTATCTAATAAATGTTAGTTACTTAAACGGCTGTTTTCATTGTTGAAAAAATAAGTAATATTTCTTTAACAAATAGGTAGCAGTATTTGAAATAAACAAAGAATAATTTCATTTACGGTGTTTTGAGGAAATTTTCAAGGTTAAAGGTTTGATAAGAAGATTCGATTCATGTTATAAATTGATATTAGTACAGTTTTTATAGACTGAAAAATAATATTTCAATTTTCAGTAATTTTAAATGTTACAAAAGTTATGTTTAAGAAATGGTTTTTTAAACATTTGTGCAATGAGGGTAGTAATAAATATTCGATGTATCTGTCACCTCTAAAGTGTAGTAATCAGTTAAACTACAGATCACCTGGACACTTTAACGGATCATCCTAGTCATCCGTTAATTACTATTTTTCCTTTTTTTAATTCCTATTAAGTCACGTTATTATTTGATCATTTTCTTAGCATTTATTTAAGCTACTTTTCGTTTTTACGGCATCTTTACATGATCTAAATTACGGTATTTTTAATACAATGTTATTTACACAAGAGAATTTTGAATTTAAATAATCACTTTCTGATATCACTATGCCGTCCTAAAATAACGTCGTTTTTTAATCGTTTTCTCAACAATTGTTGCAGTTAAAATCTCAATTATTTAAGCACGATATTATTACTACCGACGAGCAAGCAATGGAGCTTTTAAATATTTAAACTTTCATGCCAGTATAAATATTTTAATATTCGCTATTTGTTAAACTGTTCTACCGTAAATTACTCGACCTCCCGCGCAGGTCGTCGGGTAACCCAAGCGGAGGAGCCATCCCCTTTGCGGAGGATCAAATTTGTGATGTCATGTCTTCGGATCATCCTCAGGAATGTTTCCCTGATCGTCGCCGATAGCTGATTGCGCAGAGCTAGTGCGACTTAAATAAAGTACCTACCTATCATTCAGTGATCATTTTACTGCAATCAGTCACACAACAATGATTATTTTGAATTCTCTGCATCACATAATGTATTGCGATGGCGCTTTAAATAAAAGCTTGCATAAACCCTAATTTTGCTAGTAGTAATATTAGCACTAGCTGTAGTAACTTTGCTACTCATTTTGAAACATGAAAATATGCCCTTGGCGCACCCCTATCACAAATTAAACGGAACTGATTTTGAATATTTCTTGTCCCAGGTCACGCACTATCTTCTGGACCCTAGTCGTTTAATGCCTGATGAAGAGCTTTATCAGTTGTCACTTTGCCTGGAACCTAGATTGTCACGACTGAGCACCAAAATTACGACGCCTGGAACTGGATTCATGGGGTTCTCTTCATCAACGGCCACTGGTGGACAAGGGTCGTGAGCAGTTCTCACCCAATTAATTCTCACTCATCCTTCCCTCTCACGTTAAAAAGAAAAATATACAAAAAAGAGAAGTCAGATATTGAAAACCCGCTTTATTCACGTGATATTTAATATCAGCATTCCCTGGAGAAAAAAAATTGCCTTCGTATATCATCCCTTTTGGAGTTTTTAAATGTGTCAAAAAGTTTGGACTCTGACCAAGGGGTGGAGATGACCTGCCAGAGGAGATTCGTCTGTAGATGACAAAGAAGGTTACAGTTAAAACTAGAAGAAGGTAGGGCGTTTATTGTTTTTGTTCTTTTTTTTTAAAAAAAAGCCCAAGTGGATTTTTTTAATTGTTACATCAATGTACTAATTTCATTACCTGTTTGAATTTCTTCGTTATTTTGTGTCTGGCATGATCTGAAGGTTCTAGAACATATTTTTGGTTGTTATGTGCAGAGAACTCACCTTGAAGTTTAAATTTGAAGTATCATTGCGAAAACTTTGGTTCTGGTATTACTGTAAGCTGTTCAGAGTATATATGTTAACTATGTGTCAATGAAAAGTATCAGTTTCGAGAAATTACAACAGAGCTGTTAACCTGAAAAAGTCATATCCTTGAAGCTTTCCCAATATGACTGAATACTCTATGTAATATAGTGCTATATCTACTATCTGATATCAAGTCAGATATGTTGTACATATATATATTAAATACGTCAGTACCTTCCTATGTCTTCTGAAAAATCTCATATATATGTTTGAATGGTTTATTAATTTTCTTTATTTCATTGAGCGTTAACCGCTCGCTAAAATGATACGGTAAATGTTATGAAAGTATAATCATGATACGAGTAAGTTATTTTTAATTACTAAACTAATCATTTCAAAAATAAACGAGGTAGTGCAATATCTTTCAAAACATCATTTCCATTAAATAAAATAATTATACTTGAAAAGATTTTCCTCGTGCGAAAAACGCATAAAAAGGAGAAAATTGAAAAATTGTTTTTGTTTAGGGAATTCTTTAAATCCAATTTAACAAAGAGTAAATTAAAAAGAGAAATTGACGTAAAAGGAGAAATTAATGTAAAAGGTATTTAAATAGAAAAAATAAGATTCCCGAAGCGTGTGTACCGTTTCTCCTTAAAATAAAAGTAGATTTTTTTTAAAGGAGTGTATTAGCTAAAATGAACCTTGTTATTAGAGAGATAATGCACTCTCATGTATCATTACGTACGCTCACTTGCGTAGGCAGTGCAGTAACCACAAAACATCCTCTGCAGAGCTTCTGTGGAAGATGCATGGTGAGATGCTAAGAATGCAGGAAATCTCTCTGTAATTTACATTAATGGAAAACGCAAATTTGTACCTAAACCTGTGACGCATGCGTAATGGGATGATAGAATCCAATTGGACAAACACAAAGCACCAAGCAGCCAATGGTCTAAACACATTTCTTAAAGCACTAGAGTTCACCTCTTAGAATAAAAACGGGTAATTTGCGTCAACGCCCGTGTGCTATACGTGGTTTATTATTCACTGCAGAAAGCTTTTACGGATGACGTTCTTGCACACCTTCCACGCCTAGAATCCTCTATGTAACCAGCAAAGGATCCTCATTTCATTGTTAGTGCAACCGATGAAAAATTCTTATATTCTACATGCATCTTACAAAAATACTCTAGGTACAGTCTGTAGCATTACCATCAGCTGATTTGTACTTGAGATGAGACAGACTCAGACAAAGCTCGTAATTTTAATCAACTTCGAGTTTCATTCAGTTCTGGGCCAGACATTGAATGTCGTTCCTTGACAGGTCGACATGAGAGAAAGGCAAATATAGGTAGTGTGGCAAACTTACGTTCAAATGACACAGTGTGGAGTCTAGTAGTAAAAAGTAATATTTGCTGTACCGTGAATGATCTGCAAAAATACGTTCTAACAACGACAGTATTCGTTAAATGTATTTTTTCCGCCGTACAGGGTGTCTCAGTTTAACGTTTCAGAACTCCTAAGAGGGGCAGGGTGCATCCTGATGGCTCGAAATCATATAGCAATCCTGGGTCGGAAATGCTTTCCTGAAGCGGTGATGTACACAGAAGCACCATAAAGAAAAGAGACCGTAAGTGAAAAATCGTTTTAATACATTGAAAAAATTATATGGTACATGGGTCAAAGTAAGTGTTCGAAGTTTCTGCCACTGTCTACAATGTACACCACACATCTCGGCGTATGGACATTCGAACATTCTGCTATACTCCAGGCATATCTCGAATTTCTCCGGCAGCTACTGAGATTCCAGCAACCAGCTCCTCAGCATTGTCAAAAGGGGTGTCATAAACCAGTGTTTTCATATGACCCTAGAAATCCAGACATGACAGGTCTGGTGACCGAGGAGGCCATATAATTTTTTCAATGTATTATTAAAACGATTTTTCACTTACTGTCTCTTTTCTTTAAGGTGCTTCTGTGTACATCCCCGTTTCAGGAAGGCATTTCCGACCCCGCATTGCTATATGATTTCGAATCGTCAGGATGCACCCTACCTCTCTCAGGAGTTCTGAAACGTTTAACTGAGACACCCTGTATATTTCGATCTCGGGCTTTCAGGGATCCTATATATCTCTGGCTCAGGTGAACTCTAATTAGAATTCTTCTGGCTCGGGATGTCGCGGACCTCAAAAACTGAGCCCAAATGCATCTCGAATCCGTACATGTAGTGCGTCGCAATCATTTCGTAGTTTGCACACATGTAGGCTAATTGGTAAATCCTGCGCATTGCTGATGTCATTGTCCTTTCGCAAAGCGTTCTGCTAATTGTAAAAGTTGCCAGCATTTTCTATTTAGTTTGATAATTTTATGCTCTTATGATCTTATTGGCTCTTATGATTATAACACGCTTACCTTCAGAATAATTAGAAAATTTGCAGAATTTGCTTAATTATACTAAATTTGCTTAGGCTCATTGTAATAAACATAAATGGCAAGTGTCTTAAAATAGGCCAGATTAATTGAGCTATCGATGATAGGACGTACTATAAGCATGATTCTTTGATAATTATTGAAATTGACGCGGGGAAGTGAGTTCATTGTAAAAAGCTTAAAAGCAAAATGGCATCGGCATTTGCAAAGTGTCAAAATTTTAAATTAGCTTACAATATATCAATCTCATCTCGGGTTCGGTTCATTTCATCGACAAGCTGTTTCAACAAAACCACTTCGTCTACAGATCATTTTATAGACAGTGTCATTTGCCTACGGGCCATTTCGTCGACAAGAAATTTTGTCGACAAGGTCGTTTCGTCCACAGATGCGTTTTATCAAGAAACTATTTCGTCGACCATTGCGTCGAAAAGGTCGTTACGTCATCTGCATTTCTTCGTAATGTGGTATATTTTTAAGAGTCTAAATTTTTTTAAACTTTGTCTAAAGCAAACTTTGTGACCTATATTGCAATTTCTAGAGAAGTTTTTTTTTAATTTGAAATTGTTTATTCCTTTTGTTGAATTACGTTACGTTGCAAAAACTGCTCAATTGGTATTTTTAGTAGTATATTGTTAGTATATCTTTCTAAGATTCTTTGTTTATGTATAGTTTTTGAAGATTATAAATTATACATTATCAATTAGACCCGCAAAGTGATTACTATAATTACTTAATGCAGTAAGTAAAACAAAGCAGACAAGTACAGGAGAAAAAATACTGATTTTTTCATTTTTCGGAAGTTTTTCTTTTCAATGAAATATTGAATCTGTTATTACTGGATTTTGAAATAATTTTCAAACTGAAATGGCTTTTTAATTTCGTTTTCTTTTTTAAAAAAGTTGATAGTTGGGGAGAGCTTAACCGAGATCGGTTAATGTTCCAGCATTTGCTTTTTTAATATCTAAATTGCAGTAAAGCAATGCGCGAGGATTGTCCTCAGATCATTACTGTAAGCATGATTCTTTGAAAGTTGTCAACATCGTTGTCATTTCGCTGTCTGCGAAATGAATTGTCAGCGAACTTACCCAGTCGACGAAACAACCCTGTCGACCAAATGGATTGTCGATGAAATGACCTTGTCGACGAAATAATCTGTCGATGAAACGACCTGTCGATGAAGTGATTGTAACCGAAATGAATGGAACCCATAAATCTCCTGACTAATCTACTTCATGAATAAGCACCATTTAATTTTTACTATGTCAGCTAGAGGCGTCTTCTAACGTTTTTAATAATTTGTTCGAACCATTAGATTGCATGGTGTTTTGTACTCTTGCTCAATTGCATTTTTTCACATTCTAATAAATACAAAGAGTTTAGAAACACCCTACATATAACGATTAAATATAATAAATAAAATAAAAGCTGTATAAAAATTTCTTTATTTATTCAGCATAGATTAAAAAATTTATGATTTTATTTTCTTTAATCACACTATGCTATTAAAACTCTTTGTCAGCATAAAATGTCGATAAAATTACAATTTCTTGAAGGTTGAAACCAATTTTACAGTAATTGTGTAAAAGTTTTGGTGGTACTGAAATATATTTATATTTTGTAAATGTGCTATTATATATTAATATATATATACATATGTCTATGCAGATATCTTCCTTGTACATAATGAACATTTGTATATCAACAAATGCAAAATATTTATGTTGTATGTGATTCACTGGTCTCATTAAAAATGTCATTTTATATTAGTATTTTGGTGCCAAAGCCCTTTACAAAACATTTGCAGTTTGCTTAATTTATTTATTGAGAAAAATGTTCTTAATCCGATATTTGGAGAAAATGGTGAAAAAATCCCTTTTTTTCAATATTTGTTCCTCTTTATTTTTATACTCTAAGGCATTTAAGGAAATTTTAACCTATATAATCATAAGTAAAATTACTTGATTAAGTTATACTTAATATCTCTCATAAAGTAATTCTGATAAATTTATGCTTGTGCTATTCATAACAAAATATATATGGTTAAATTTACATTCGTTCCATTCATAGCAAAATAGCTCATGTTAAGTTTATTATCAATAAGCATAAAATTTAAATAAAACTTATTAAACTCTTAAAATTATTAAATCATATGAAATAAAACTTATTTAAATAAAACTAATAAAACTTATTAAAAGCTTATTAACTACTTAAACAAAATTTAAAAATTACGTAAATTAACAGAAATTAAAGATCAATCTTGTTGAGATGTCTTGTATGCAAGCTATCATGACGATTAGCGGCAAATTAAATGTATACATGCAATAGTTCTTTAAAAGAATTTATGTAAGTATTGAATGATTAAACAAATACAATAGATACTTTTTTTTATTTTGAATAGTTTAACTGATGTTTAAAATCATTGTAAAGCAAAATCCCAGAAGGAAACATCGGACAGTTTTATTACTATTTAACAAACGAAGGTCAATTGCTATTAAATATCACGACACATATTATCACACTGTGGAAAAAGATCAAAACTTTTCTCGGAACTTTCAGATTTAAAAATGTAAATTCCCGATCTAAAAGAAGTAGTAGTAGCAGTTTATTTGTGTCGCACTAATTCGGTTCAATAAGTTTTTGGTGGAGGAGGGGGAAACATCCCTGAAGATGATCCGAAGACATGACATTAGAGTTTCAATCTCCCGCTTTTTTAGCCCGACGAAGTTGAGCAGTTTATGGCAGAATAGTTTAACTAGGACTGATACCGTGCACCCTCAGTCTCTTCACAGGCAGATCTAAGTAGTCCCCCTTCCACTCACTGACCTCAGCAGCGATACTTGACTTCGGTGATCATCTGGGAACCATTTCTCAAGATCAGTTAATTGTGGAACCTAACTAAATGGAAATTACACGAGGAAACACACTCCGGAAAATGTAGCTGTAATAAAGTTGGTTACAATACTTGATAAAACATTAGATTTAACGCTATTATTACAGTTTTAGCTGTCGTGCTGCAGGTCCCTGGTTCGATCATCGGGCCGCTCAAGGTTGACTCAGCCTTTCATCCCTTTAGTGGGTCGATAAATGAGTATGAACCATGCTTGGGACTGACTACCTGATTTGTACCTGTTCGGCTGACTACCTGACCGGAACATCTGCTCCAGCACCCCAGAGCCCAAGGTCAAGAAAACTGAGATTGGTACAGTAGGCTTTGGCCCTCTATGGGCTGTCACGTAACTGAGTTTAGTTCAGTTTACTGCAGTTTTAAAGAGAATGATTCTAGGCTGTTTCACTCAAAAGCGAAAAGCGAAAAAACAGGGGGATATTAGGATAAGCTTTACAGAAATAAAAGAAAAGCCTTTTGTCTGCTAGCGAGATACCATTTCCTCGGCAACCGTCTTCACCACATAGGCAATTAATTTTACCGAGCCTGTTAGTCCACTAAGCGATTCGCGAGAAAAATTGGATTTTGAGCCCTTTGCGGATCTACACAGATGTCGAAATCTTGAGAAGGAAAAACATTCATTAGGCAACAACTCCAGCTTTCTGTTTTTCTTTCCAATTTTCTGTATTATAAGTTTAGGGTCAAAATTTAAAACTCAAAATTTACAAAACTTAAAGTTATATTATTTATTTCCAAAAAATAATTTTAAAATACTTGAATTTTCTGAACAATTAAGGGTTTTCTTGATAAAGGTAGCTTGTTCGATTATTGTTATCGTTCTCGTTCTATGACCCTATTGTTCCACATTAGAACTTTTTCTTTTCATTAGAATAAGTTAAGGGAAAAATTAAAAACCGAAACGCTACAAAACATAAAATTTTATTATTTGTTTTAAGACGTGATTTTTAAAATGCTTGAATTTTCAGAACAAGAAAAGGTTATCCTGATAGAAGCAGTCTGCTTTATTGTTATCATTTTATGATTTTATGACTCTATTGTTCTACATTAATAAAAAAAAATTATGTTCGTATACGTCTAGGGGGAAATTTTAACTTAACAAAACTTTACAAATATAAAATTATATGCAATTTTAAACTACTTGAATTTTCTTAACAA